TAAGCATATATATACATATATAAAGTGAATTATTTTTCTAGAAAAATAAAATACTTACTTTAATTTCAGAAGGTTTTGGGCTACAGAATCCTTCATCAACCTCAATTTTGAACTGTGTTCCTATACTAGAACTATTTCCTTCTAGAACAGTTCCTCCAGGTGTTATATCCATACTACCATATTCTTTATTGCTCATATTCATTGGGGAAAATCCCATAATATGTTGTTCCAATGATGGTGGTGTAGGATACATTTTATGAAGATCTGCAGTGCCTATATTTAATAAAACACACATTTTAACATAAGACTAAAATGAAGTTAATCTGTGTTTAAAAGAAAGGAGTATGGAATTTTATTCAGATTAAAAATTTGCAGATTCATCTGGAGCAGATTTGGGAAGCTTACTTATGCAAGATAGTGGGTCCAGATTTCCTGTCTTTGATTCCTTACTGCTGGATTTATCATCTGTTCCATTTGCTGACTTTTTAGATCCAGGCTATTAACAAAAACAAAAACACATTATTTATCTGAAATTTTAAGTCCAATGTGATCCAAGATGGTAATCATTAAGATATAACTTGAAGGTCAAACCCATTCATCAAATATATTATTCTGGTTGTGCCAGAGATAAATATTGGTTATTAGAAAAATTTATAAAGATGTAAAACACTTTTTAGGCAATCAATGAACCAAGATTAATTTGTTTATTTGATAATCCTGCAAATTAACAGAGGGAAAGTTCCTCCAAGACACAGGACCAATACTTCCACAACACACAGAAGCAAAAATAACCTACCACTTAAAGCCTATTAAAATTAAAAAAAAAAAAAAAAAAAGGAAACCTGCAATAAGAAGGATTTATAATATCAGAACTGCTTCTTAGTAAAAGATATTCATAAAGCATTTGTCCCCTTAAATGAAACACACTGAAGTTTCCTATATATTCAATCACCCCTCTGAAACCTAATTTATACTTTTATCTTGTTTAATAATCTCCTTACCCTTATAAAAATGCTACAACATGTAAAACAAAGCACAAACTTCAGAAAGATCTCATTTGATAAGTAACAGGATACCTAACTAAAAATTAGTTTTAATACATTTAACAAATCGTTTTACCATCTCCAATCTGTCACCAATGTTTTTAGACCTGATGACTTAGTTCCAAGCCTCCTGTTAGCCACTTTGTCATAAATATGTAGACTGAGTTCTAATTACAACCTTTTTACCTCACAAGAGCCACAGCTGATACATGAATGGTAACAGAGAGAAAGCATAAAAGTACCAAAGTATTCAGGGATATAGAATGTAAGTTTATGTATAGTTATATCTGCCTATGTCACTTAAATGAAGACACCAAATGTGCATATATGTGTATATACATATATACATAAATACATATATGCAGGGTGTATGTGTGTATCATATATACAACAGAGAGGATTAAAAGTGTAATACAGAACAAGAATGACCAAATGTACTATAGAAGTTTCCAAGCTACCTTTATGCAGATGAAAATGGAATTCCCTTTTATGATAATGCAGCACTCAGTTCATTAATTTGCTAGAGACTTGACATTCTAGCAAATCTCATTTAAAATTTTCTTTTATAATCACCTTTCTCTGCAAATGGATGTGCAAAGTTAAATATTTCTCTTTCTGCCTCTTTCATTATTACAGTATATAGCTGTTTTACAATAATGGCTAGAATGCCAATCATATTCAAAAGAAGTAGTATTCCTTAATAAACTGACAAGGCACACAATTTTAATGTTAATTATTTATTATTTTATGTATGTGAGTCAATTCCAGGGTCATTTCTCAAATGAGAGATCAAAGAACAGGAAAATAATTCTGCTTCCTAAAGACTGCAGAAAAAGAACATACGGTAGAAATTAAGCTTAATCACACATGTCCTTCAAATATAAAAAAATAAAGAAGGGCGCCTGGGTGGCTCAGTCGTTAAGCGTCTGCCTTCGGCTCAGGTCATGATCCCAGGGTCCTGGGATCGAGCCCCACATCGCGCTCCCTGCTCTGCGGGAAGCCTGCTTCTCCCTCTCCCACTCCCCCTGCTTGTGTTCCTGCTCTCGCTATGTCTCTCTCTGTCAAATAAATAA